AAAAAAAAAAATCAGAATGTCAAAGAAAGTCTAAGTAAGGGTTGTACTACTTCATAATCTCTGGAATAATTAAAGGACTGGATGACATCAATGACCATTGTTATCTAATATAAGTACCCTGGTTCTTGACACCGTTAAACCTTTAAAAAGCAGAAATTATCTCCTAGTTGTTCATTAGGTAGGCAAGTGATAGATTCCTAAAAGTTGCTCTAGAATTCTATTTGGACATTGAATTATTACAAATTCCCCAGTGAACTTCATTAAGCTCTAAGAGATTTTACCTGACTACCCAGAGCTGAGCACAAAGCTCAGCAGTACTTTCTAGTATGCTAAACTTCTCTGTTGTTTCTCCATAATTTCCTCCTATGGAGGTGCTTAATGAAGCTCAAAATTAACAGCGTTTTGTTTCAGAGTAAAGAGTCCCTACGTACACTTCTAGGGTTATGGAGAAACTCCACTTGCAGAGTTCTGCCATGTCCCAGCGCCTTTATTATAATACTTATTCAAGCCAGGATTTGTCCGGTTCATTTGTCTCTTCCACTAGACAGTTTCCTAGAAGCAAACACATGTACTCAGGTGTCTAAAATGTCTGCTGAGACTATATTAAGACAAGTGGAGGTGAACAGGGAAGTGAGGGCCTAGACCAGCTCTGAGGCCCTAGGCTCCAACTTCTCCATCTGTAAAATAAAGATGCCCATTCCTTCTTTGCAGGGTTTTGAAAAGCATAAAGAAAATCTTATTTGCAAGCACAGAGCTTGCTTTATAAAAGGGGTTCAAGAAATTGTGGCTTTAATGTAATCACAGGAAAGGCATGCCATTTTCTATCTTTAAAAAAGACCATGAAATTTTATAAATGCTAATTTGAAGTCATAATTGTTCTGTCACCAGTGCAATCACATCAACAAATTTTAAATAAATCTAATAAAAATGCATTCAATGCAGAAACAAGTACCCACCTCAAGCGATCACATTTCTGCATTTTAAAACATTCCCATTAAGTATATAAATAACAATTTCTGTTTAGTTCTCACAAAATAGAACAATATTCAACAAAATACTTGGCTTAAAGGCTGAGGAACAACGAGAAGGCAAACGGGTAATGCTAACACAGGTGATGCAATTTACAAAGCAGAGATAATGCATCTGCACCTTGACACTTATTCTGGAGAATTCTTCCATCCTAGTTCTTTTTTTTTTAAGATTTACTTATTTATGCAGACAGTACTGGGGTACAGACCAGAGGTGCAAGGCAGTGAGAGGATTCACCAGAGACAGAGTGGGGAGCAGAACAGGTGGACTGAACTGCTGAGGGGAGCAGCAGGGAGACAGGAGAGGTTGGCTGTGCCATGTGGTCAGCTCCGGGGCGGGGATCAAACTCTCACCAAAGCGGCTGCGACCAGCTTCGCAGTGACTCGCTTTACCCTGCTGCGCCACCAGGGAGGGCCCCAATCCCGGTTCTTAACCTCTCTATGCGCTACAGCCTCTTATCCCTAGTCAGCAGCAACAACCCCAATCCCAGACTCCCTGGTACCCAGGGCAAGAGAAAGGAGGCAAATGACCAGGGCACCACCTAAGGGTCTCCTGACATCCAGGGCTAGGGGGTCTGCTTCCGCTGTGGTGACTGGTGCTAGACGCCCTGGCCCCTGGGAGACCTGTGCAGGGAAACAACAGGAAGCTTTGACTAGACTGTCAGCCTTCGGTTACACGGTCCAATTTCAGCACAATAACCCTAACATGGTAAGAGTGCGCGGAGGTGACCAGCCATTTCCTCAAAAAACATTTGTCCAGCCTTCATCTCTAAGGGCTTTCTTTCATTATGACAAGGTTACCTCTCTTTTACTTTGAAGATTTAAACAGATAACTTGAAATATATTTAAATTAATGGAAAATATTTACTTTTAGTAATCAAAATAATGTTCAGCTCTCAAGCATGACAATTTATAATTAGCTATGTCTGATTTAAATGCGATATGGTTGGCTACTGAAATATACACATCAAAAGACATACCTTTCTCGCCCTTCTTTTCGAGACCGAGTGATCTGATTAATTTCCAATGCTGTGAGCTTCTTTGCCACACGGTATTGCCAGATATAAAACGCTTCTTTCGAAGCTGCGATCACATGGGTTTTGGTCATAGCAACATGTAATGGTACTATTAAAAAGAACATCAAGACAACTAGGTTACATTCATAGTTCCAGAGTATGCACTGCAAAGGAATTCAGTGATCACTGGGTCCAAGCCTTCATTTTAAATACAATATACTTTATACACAGTCTCTGAAACTGGAAAAGAATCAAAAGTAGCAGAAACTATACAAAAACATTAACTCAAAATAGATCACAGACCTGCATGCAAGAGCTAAAACTAGAGAAATCTTGGCTGAAATTCAGCGGTAAACCTCAGGGCTGACAAAGGGAACTGAAGTCCCACTCCTTCCTCCCACCCCCACCACCAGTACTGCAGGGATAGAGACCTCGGCAACTTGCCCCATCTCATATGTCAGTTTCCTCATTAAATTAGAAAATTCTCCCAAATTCCTTCCTAATTCAGGAATATGTTCTCTTAAACAGAAAACTTTTTCATCTGTTTGTTTCTTAGAGAACAGTGAATCGCTCACTGTGTACCCTTTTATAGGAAGATAGTTTCATCACATGCTTCTCAGAGGTAGAGGATTAAAGAAGTGAAGTAATTTGCCCAAGGTGAAAAACAAAAACAAAATTAAATATACACACTCACACCAATATATATTTAAAAATCTCCTTTATAGGAAATCATTTTAGTACCTGTTTTTAAATTCATGAATGATTACAACGTGTGAAACCTAATTTTTAGCCATAGTTATTGAGCAAAGTAATCGATAACACAGCCAGAAAGAGAAAGGATGTTGATACCAGCTACCGTTAGTAAAGTTCTTGGCTGAGTTCAACTAAAAGATATTTGAGACTTAGAAACTGAAGAAATAACTGGAAATATCATCTATATGAAAGAGTAGATTAACCGCTCAGGAATTCAAATTCAAGAATTTTTAAACACTAACTCAGTATAGTTGAGTCCTATGGAAAAAAATTTTCATGGCAGTTGTCAAGGTGTTTCTATTTAGACCGGGTACTATTTCTGAACTCTAGAGGGGGCCAGAAGCCTTCCTCCGGAGAACTCACTGGAAGCAGAGGAGAGCGGGCAGGAAGCTGAGCGGGACCCACCAGCTCCCCAGGTCCAGGCTTCGCTCAGCCTCCTCTGCGCTATCTTCACTGGCCCATAAGACATTTACTAAATTATAGGAAATTCTACCACGGATACGCCGATGCTGGCAACTCTAATGTCCTCAGTGTGACGTGACGTGCACAAGACTTAACTGCTTTCAAATAAAGTATTACTTTTACTAAGCACATAAAGGCAGTTTTCTAATCAGCGTTTGCCTGCAGTTACAAACTGCATTCATTTCCTTCCTTTTCTATACATCCTAAATAATCACAAAAGTTGATCATTAGCCTGATTAACTCAAAATTAAAATGTTTATGGTTCACTAGAAGAGTCAGACTTCTTGGACTCAAATCACACACATTTGCAAACTCTGGGCTTAGATGGGTTACTTATTCTCTCTGAACCTCAGTTACAGACTGCAAATTGAAGATAATAATACCAGCCTTATAGAGCTGCTTGAAGAGTTAAAAGAGATAATAAATGTAGAGTACCACACCTGGCACAGAATAAATACATAATGACAATTTTTCAAGCCAATATTTATTAAATGTTTTCAAAATATATGCCAGGGATACATTTTATATAATTATATTCATTTTAATTATATAGTTTTGATATGTAATTATATTAATATATAATTAATATACTACATATATTAATTCACAACCACCTTATGAGGTAAGCATTATCGCCCCCATTTAACAGATGAAGACACTGATGAACAGAATGACTAAATAGGGCCCCCCCTAGTGGTACAACGAGTTAAAGCACAACACTATGAAGCTATCGCAGTCACTGCAGCATGAGTTCAATTCCCGGCCAGAACACTCCTCACCCACCCACTGCTCCCCTCAGCCATGTGTTTTAGTAGATCTGCCTGTTCTGCTCCCTGCTCTGTCTCTGGTGAATCCTCTCAGCCACCACACCTCTAGCCTGTAGCCAGTTCTGTAAGCATAAATAAATTTAAAAAAAAAAAAAGAATGGTTAAATAACTTGCCAAAATTGCACAGCTAGAAAGTGGTAGAAACTAGGACACAAAGCAGTTAATCTGGTTCCAAATCTGTTTGGAGATCTGACATACTGCTGCTCATGGAGGGTTAATCAGCATTAGATGTGGATGCTTTTATTGTTTTTACTTTTACTAATTGTATAGGTTTTTATAGTAAAACCATGTACAAATCCACAAGGCAATACCAAAAAGTGAATACAATTGCATGTGCTTTTGAATCAGGGCAGATAACCCTATCTATCTGGTTCTAGATCTTTATCAATAAATCCATCCTAGCCACATAGGGTAAGTTTCTAGAAAAAGTTAGAACTAAACTTTAACAGAATATTTTAGGAAACCAACATAATCAAGATGAAAGTGCTCCATGTCCTCATCAGTTTCAATATCTGCAAAGAAAAAATTCAAAGTCTCTAGAAGGATTATGAGAAAAAACATCTCTAAAGAAAATAATTATGCTTTCATTAGCTGCTTGGTAACACTAATAGGTAGCACTTCAAGTGAACCAAGGATGTAAAATAATTTAAAATCACTTAGGAATCACGTGTAAGTAAAGCCTGCTTGTATTATTTTAAGACCTAAATTAAGTGCCTCCAGCTGTAACATCCCCCCAACTGTCCTACTTATTCATTTCTCAGCCCTTTAAAGAATTTGCACCAAAACATTTTCATCAAACTCCCTTTCTGCAGAACAAACTCCCTTTCCACAAAGCCTGCGGAAGTGCAAGACCAACCCTAGGAGCTCCTACAAACTCCCACCCAAAGGACTCCAGCGAGTCATTCAGTACTTTCCAGCCACTTTTCATGCCTTCCTGACTCTGCAAAATGCTGACTTCTCTCCTTAAAATACCAAAGAAGTACTTATCTTTCCGATTCAGCTCAAATGAAAGCTCCAGCTAGAAAAGATGCCATGTCCTTAGGGACCAAGCGCTACCCCTCAGGCACCGAGCACAGCAGAAGCAATAGTCACTGTTCAATGGATTAACTATAGTTTACTTATGTGCTTCAACACCCTATAGGAAATGTCTTAATTTCTTATCACTCCTGGTGATTCATTGGTGGTTTGCTAAGTAGAGGAATTATCCCTCTATTTATATGGCAGAAAATATTCCCCACACTTTCCACAAGCAACTATTCTACAGCAGGTACCAAAGTGTGAGATGTTAGTGGGCTACAGAAGTAAGAACTTGAAGCTCAAAATCTTCCTTAGTATGAAGTACTTTGGATAGAAATCACCGGAGATATTTTGAGGATTCAAAGGAAGAGCACCAAGAACAGGCACCTAACTTCCTCATTTATATCAGACATCTTTAATAATATGAAAAGTTCTCTTTTAAAGTTTCTATGCAGGCTGTCAGGAGGAAGAGTAGGTGGTAAAAGAAAAATTACATTTTCTAGAACAATATCAGTTACAGAGTCTTTTTTATTTGCCCTCCAGTCCTCATGAAAATTTGGCATAGCAACTTTAAAAAGGAATGTCACCGGATATGTATGAAGCAAAAATGTTGAGTCCTTGGCTGGGTTTTATTGCAGACCAATGAAAGAACCATTTGTAAAATGTCAGCCAGCGAGACTGCAAAAAAAGTTTCAAGACTTAAAAATACAAATAATCATGCCCTCAAGTAAAGATTTACATTTTTACATGGGTAAAGATTTACAACTGGCTTTCTTAAAAAATACACTACTTGGAATCAACATTACTGAGGTTAATTCTATCATCATAATTCTATTTTAAAACTTGATATCAAGAGAAAATGCATGTGATCTGAAGGTTGACAATTCACTCCCTAACGACTGTTATGTTTCTAATAAATGGAACAAACTCATGTGACAAGCATCTGTAATGATTTTAAGTTTTTAGCAAGGAACACTAAGACGCATGCATGTGCATATACACAAATGCCATGTAACAATGAACTAAGACGTGAAGTTGAAAGTCTCAGTACAAAAGACGAATTCTCAAGACCCTGAACTCAACATGTTAGATCCACGTTTAAGAACAGCAATTTCTCACATCTGCTGGCATCACCAAAGAGCTTAGCAAAATACACCTGGAAGGTGGGTGCTAACATTTGACTAAGGCTAAATGTGAAATCCGGAGGGAAAAAATGACTAGCCCTCAAATACAGAAAATAATTCAGTGAGTTTTCGAATTTTTAACTTTTAATAATTTTTCAAATAGCATGCCCAATAAACTACCTTTTGCTTTAAAAGGAAACCATTATTTTCAGAAATTACAATAAAAAAGACAAAATTTGGGGAATGATTTTTAACAAAATACTTAAAATAAGGTTTGTAATTTTTTAATGGTTACATTCATAGCAACTGGATAGCAAGAACTGCAAATCTAAAGTACCAAATGTCTTCTGAAAACAAAGCAGCAATTTTTTAAAGCCATCTCTATGAATAGACTGATTTCATTAAGAAAATCTGGAAAGGACATATTCACTTGTACAAGCAGCTGAAGTGTTTTTATGGAAGAAAGGTATTTACAAGCAGTTCATTTATAATGTAAGTATTTAATGGCAAAATTCTTTCTGTAATCCTCAGTTTATTACCTACTAAATATTGCATACCGATTCCTATGCAATTATATTTCCCATTTAAAGCAAATAACGGCAGTATTGCAGTTGTGAGGATATTGTGGACTTTGGATAGAGTAACTCTAATGTATGAACCATGTACTTTTGAGAATGAAGGGGAGCATATTAATGAGTTTACCTGTCAATAAGCATAAATTGGTATTGGACTTGGCAAAGCAGGAAGCATAATCAATGTCCTTTCAGAGAATACCATGCTAATTAACATTACAGTTGTTCTGTTTTTTTAATTCACTTTACATTTAAAACTTGATCAAGAGGGAATAAATATTTACATTTCCTTACCAATATCAATGTATTTGGGGTCCAAGGGTGTGCCGATGGAATTACAGAGCACTAGCACAAACTGTGAAGGGACAAGACAGAGAATCAGTATGCCTGCTTGAGGGAGAAACTCAGCGAGCTGCGAGCGGGGTTTACTTCTATCCCTAACTAGGAGGTAACTGATGAAATTTAAATGTAAAGAAAAAAATATATCCCTAAATGCAAAGAAAAAATATAAAATCTACAGAATTAAAAATAAATGGGTTAAAATTAAACCAGGTTGATGTCTTGATAGAATGAAACAGTAAAACACGAGTATGCTGTCTACGTCTAGAGTTCCTGATTGGTGGTGAACTCATAACTCACGTTTACCCACTAAGCAGCTATATTAAGAGGTAACTTAATTTGTTACCGTTGCATCAAAGGCTTCCATCTCGCTCTCCTCCTTTGAAGCAATGTAAAAACGACATGAGAAATTCAGAAAACTTTAGTAGATTCAAAAAATGCATAAGTCAACCAAGTGAAACCGATGTTAAATGGCTATCACACACAGTGTTGAGACATACAAAATAATTATCAATGGTTATTATCAGGAAAAGAAAGGCACAATTTGTATCAGATTATTATCTGAACAAAAGTGATACTTGTGTATCCTGCTTTTCTATGTAACCTTTTCTATATCCTGTACTAACAATACTATTTTTACTTAGACATATTCCTGATGAGAACAGTGATATCTAATAAACAATTCCCTATTTACTCTTTACTATTTACATATATAGAATTTTGCCTTTTCTTCACATCTCAAGTAAAATTTCTTGAGTTTCATAAACACAAATTCGATAAAAATTATACTAAAACATAATTTACTCTTCAACACTTAAAATAGGCTTAATTACTGCAACAAAGCACAAGATTTTTAGTTTACATATCGCTCGCATGCTCATAGTTTAAAGAGTCAAGTAGTTCCTTAAGAGTTTAAAACAGGAGTTCTCCCCCAACTTCCCATGCTCCCTGGAATAATTACTTGCAGCTCCTTTACGTCGTTCTTTTGATACTCACCTGCACAAGTCCCAGCCTTGTTTATCCGCGCTGCTGGTTAGTCTGTCTCCACCCGGCACTCAGGACTTCTGCTCTCACTGGCATGTACCTCTCCCACCACCCTCTCCCCACCTGCCAACACACGGGTCTGCACCCCACCCCTCCATCTTTCCACCTATAATTTTGATAGTTCAGAATGTAGGCTTAGTGCGTCTATTGTACTTCAATTAAAAGCTTTTTAGCTAAAAAAAAAAAAAAAAAATCCGGTGAGCACCTAGGTTTGACTGGAAACATGTACTGGCCTCTGAGTCATACAGTGGAACATGACTTCTTTTCCTTTCAAGCACATTTTGTTTTCCCTATAGACGAATCGCCATCTCTGCTATTCCCCTTCGCTCCGTTTTCTCTGTATTTACTACCCAAGGCCCTGTCATCCCCAGCTCTCATGTCTCCTCACAAAGGCGCAGCCCACCACGACTCTGCAATTTCTTTGGACGCCGGTGACTGCGCTCATCCGCCCGCTGCGTCAAGTGCACGGCTGACGGCGAGCGTCACCACTGTGAGGTTCATCCTACTGGGGCGGGCCATCTCCCAAACTAACTTCCTAAAGTCAGGGAGCTCTGAAAGAGACGTTGGGTGCTTGTACATCTGGGGATGTCTTTACCCTCCCTCTAGTTAATCTGTAAGTTGCTTACAGCGTGAGATTCAAGATGGGAACATATTTGCCCTCAGAATTTTGAAGACAATTCTCCAGAATACCGCTGTTAGCAAGTGGAATGCTACAAGGATACCCGATCCCATGGAACCTGCTTGTCCTCCCCAAAAATGTATAGGGTGTTCAGGAAAATTTGACTTTTTTTTTCCAGAATTACTTTCCATTTTTGCCTGTAAACTCCTTTTAGAATGTCTGTTATTCGTATGCTCCACCTTTTGGGCTCTAGTTTTCTTAACTTTTCACTCCTATTTTCCTTTTTTTTTTGGTCTTCTGCTCTACTTTATGTTTTCCTTTCCTAGTAATCTTGTAACTCCTGCTAATTTTTTCATTGTTGTTACCATATTTTAATTTCTAGAAACTTCCTTTTCTACAGTATCCTGTCATTATTTCATGGGTGCAATATCTCTTAATTCTGATGACAGAAATTCTTATAATTATTACTTATAGGATTTGTTTTATGTGATGATCCACTGATTTCTAAAGCAACACAACTCCAAATAAAATGCATCTCTGAGTGTCAGAGGCTGCCTAAGCTGCTGTAAATGACTGCTGGCACACAGTTTCCTACACATTTATCCTAGGCATCTGGATACTCAGTTTGTTTATGGAATTTTAACTTGGAAAAGGACTATCATATTTTAAATACATTTGGAGGGCAAAAAGCTTCACTACCGACATGACCAGTACTGCTGTGGATTAGCTGGAGAAAAAAAAAAAAATGCAGAGGACATAGAACCAAGGGAGTTCACTCATTTTCCACAACAGAGATCTCAACAGACAGGGCCAACAGACCAACAATTTACTGTCAAAGAGGCAGCGCCTGAGAAGGTGGATCACTACAGGCCCATCCTGCCAAGAGTTCAACATCTAAGTTTTAACCTATCAAGGAACACTTACCTGAGGATGATTTTCATCAGCTTTTGTTGCCAATATGCAGAAATCTCCACAGGTAGTAATAGAAATGAGACTCTTCACATATTTAACATATTTCTCATTGTTTTTTGTATCCCAAAAGATAACGCAGTATTCCGGACGATCAGGTCTGGTATAAGCGTAAACTACAGTATTTGAGCAATAACCCCACTAGGAAGGAAGGAAGAGAAAAAGGGAACAGAGGAGGGGGTGGGAGAAAAAAAGAACTGTAACATTGGAGGGGGGATCATATTATATGTAGAAACATTGCAGAAATGTAGAAGGCCAAGGGGCTGAAACAATTAGCTCAATACCTTTCCTCACTAAAATTATCTTTAAAAATCTAAGAGCAATAAAGACAGTTGCAAAGAATTACTACAAAAATAAATTAACTTTCCTTATTTTAATTTGTAAGATTTAAATGTCAGTGGTAAAAAATTCAAATTTTTCAATAGTCAATAACAACTACTTGAAGGCGACAGAGGAAGTGACTGTCAAAAGCTGAAATGCTGGGACCAGGCGCCCAATAGTCTTAGTAGTTCGCCAAATCACCCTCGTGTTCCATGATATATTTTGCTTTAAATCTTAAATGTAAGGTCAAATGTCAGCTAATTATTATGCTACTCCTCATTTTTCTCTTGGGATCCTTCCCGGCCTTTTCTACCCTGCCCGGAGCCCTGAGGCCAACCTCTGTGAATCCACCTCTGACTCCGCCCCCTGGGCTACCTGGGTGTTCCAGTGGGGTGTGGCAACACGAGGTACAGTAGGGGAGACATGGGTCAAAGTCTTTGTTCCTCCGAGTCCTCTGTGCTGAGCCAGCTGATCTGTGCCCCTGGGGGACACCTCCTCTGACATTACCACCCTCTCTGGGGCCTGGGACAAAGCCCCCCACCTTGCCCACTCTTTCTAGTATGCCTGGGTTTGTTTGCCTCGCTGAGCACTAGGCCTCCGTCAGTCTCCAGTTATTCCTGTGCATGTGTGAGCGTTTCCTGCTGAGGCCCTGACCCACCGGTAACTTCCATAATTAGCTAGAGTGCTCTAGAAAAGTTTACGAGTTCGAAGTTCCCACACTAAAAACGTCTCCGTTGAGCTGGTTTCTGAAAACAATGAAACTATGGAGACAGGCAAGAAGCAAGTAGTATACTTTGAACTGGTAACAAAATAATTTAGTAAAAAACAGCTTCTCTGTGTTTACACCTGTCCATACCACCCACCTTGTAATCGGGCCGAATATTAGCAAAATATATAAAAGAATCAACAGCCAATGCAATTTTCAGTCCACCTCCTTCCCAAGAGAGTGCAGACATCTGCTTTCCAGGCACCTTCAGAGTCCCCAGATGCTGAAAGAATAATTATTATATTTAACCTGAAATAACACAATTAAATCAAATACAAATTACCACCAATTACTTCACAGAGATCAAAAGAGGTATGAAAATTATTTTGCGAAAAGTTGCCTCTCACTTCAAAATCATTTTCTTCAAGTTTTATAATAAAAAATACACTTACTAGGAGAATTTATAAACGATATTAAATTTCACCAACTCTTAAGATGCCAGAATCTTAAATGTGCATCTCCTTTTATGTACAATTACAGAAAGAAAAAACACATCATCGATTACAATAGGGCAACTTTGAGTAAAACGTGCATTCCAATTTTAATCGTTAAAAAATGTGCGTCTCAGAATCGATGAATGATCGCAACAGGAAATCAGCCCAGCATCCTTGTCTCTCTCTGCCCTATCTCAGCAGGAATACTGGCGCGAAAGTCAATCTCCCACATAGTCACACATTTAAAAAATAGCAAGTGTCTAATACGCCCTAAGATTCCTTTACCTTATCAAAAACACTTAGAGGTTTTAATTTTGTACATATTAATTTGCAGGATAAGAAAAACAAGACTTAGAATCCATATTTTTCTACTTGGAGAAGGCAAAACTAGTAAAAATAAACAGATAAAACAAAGCAATGATAAGTTAATAGCGATTAAAAACTAACCAGTTAGGAATGTGAATTAGGAAGGTTATAAATATCAAGAGTAAGTAGAAATCGGAGTTTAATTATGTAGAAACCTTGAGGACTATATTTCTGTGTTCCCTTAGGCTATACAGCTACCAACCCCTGCAGCACATTCTTTGGGGTGACTAAGATAGATTCAAAAGCATCAGATAACACCATTTCTTATCCTTACAAAAATACTTAAATGTGAATAACTGGTGAAGTATTTTTATACAGCTAAAAATAAATATAATTAAAGTCAATGGTAAAGATATAAAACCAATAGGATATCCTAAAGGGACTAAATATAGCACGGGTTAAAAGATGAAATAGATTGGCCCTCTCTGGTGGCGCAGCAGGTTAAAGCACAGCACTAGGAAGCTAAAGCCACTTCGGCATGAGTTCCATCCCAGACCAGGGAGGTGACCCACATGGCCACGCAGATCTCTCCTGACACGCCCGCTGCTCCCCTCAGCAGTGTACTTCACTGAGCTGCCTGTTCTGCTCCCCACTCTGTCACTGGTGAGTGCTTTCACTGCCCCTGTACCTCTGGCCTGTACCCCAGTTCTGTATGCATAAACAAATAAATCTTCCCCAAAAAATTAACATTCTTAATAATGCTATTGAAAAAGATAACATGCATGTGGAAACTGCTCATATTTTAATGTAAGATTAATGGCTAAGATATATTATCTTAATGTAATTGGTAACTACATCAAGTAAAAACCATTGAAAGTTTCAGGAAAGGACAGACATCGATGCAGGCTTAATATCATATTAAAAGTCATAAAATTTAATCTAAACCTAAATCACACCAATAAACATAACTCAAAGTTCAGCAGTGAAAAAAAAATACAAATTTAGCTCACAGAGAAGATATTCCAGATAACTACTGCACAGGAATTTCTCCGGTGAAACATCTGCTTTTCTAAAGACCCAATCATAAAATAAATTCCATGTAAAACACAAGCCTAAAGATTGAAAAAGTGAAGATGTTATTCAAAAGCATACCCAACAGCTCATCATTTTCCAGCAGAATTCACTGGAAGGAAATGCGGCGTGTTTACACCTTGCCCTCCATGTGTCTGCCTCACCTTAGCTGCGTGTATCCGGACAGAAAGAGAAAACGCTGCGTACGCTCACCTCACCAAACGGGGTATAGAACTGCACAGTGTTTACATCTTTTTCCTGGGTGACCGTCTTCTGGGAACCCGCCACAGCCAGCACGCTGCCAATGTGGTTCCACTGGACACTCACGATATACATGTTAGCGTCCATCACCACAGGGTCTAGCAAGGAAAGACAGGTAGCTGTGGTAAAATGCTCAGGCCCTCGCCCTCTGGACTGGAAGAACAATTTCAAAGTATATTCGGTAATTCTCCACATTAAAGGGGAAAGACAGGCGAACTGCATACTTTGGTCATTCTCATGTCTCATGATTTGACACTTCCCGTTGTCAAAGCAAATCGCCAGGCAGGGGCAGTCCGGCTCCACGTAGCCCTCGGTGCCGTGGTACCAGTGAATCCCGGCAATGCTGATCGCTCCCGTCACGTTCAACAAACAGTTGAGTTTCATCTTCATCTAAATAAAATCAGTCAGGTCAGCAGACTATTTTGAAACAGATGAGTATGACAGGCGTGCTGCCGAGGATTCTGAAGTCTGGTTTCAAATGCAAACTCCATCACCTACTAACCCCAGGTCTACCAATCCTGGACAAATCACTTTGCCCAAGGTTCACTTCTCCCCATTTTGTCTTTGCAAAACAAAGACAAAAATAAAAAAAAAAAGCTCACATAGTGTTATGAAACCAGATGATAAGAGGTGTATGGAAGCACTTTAAAAATACTAGTGCTGACACGGGTGAATTGGTGGTGGGAAGCCCATGAGAATTACAACCGAGATGGAAAACTGCACAAAATAAAGAATGATGCAAAAAAATAAAACATATAATTAAAAAATACAGATCTATATGTATAATTATACACACACACACATGTATTAGTGCCAAACACCTGCCAATGAGTGGTTTCATGTAGCCACACAGCTGAGAACACGCTGCCCTACGATCAGAACCAGTGAGAGTCGAGCACAAAGCTAGAGCTTTTCTTAAGATTCTGCTCTCTGAGCCAAGTAGGAGCTGGCTTTTCTTTTCATAAATTTTATTCACTTGCTACAAAAATAACTTTGGTATCTGATGGAAGGTTTGGTTCTGGGCATCAGAAGACACAGAGGGTAAAGGGCCCGTCATCTTGCTCCTTACCCCTTGGCTTCAGACACTGAAATGGGCCCTCCCTGGTGGTGCAACAGGTTAAGGCACACAACTATGAGGCATCTGCAGGCATCTGCAGCCACTGCAGCACAAGTTCGATTCCTGGCCAGGGGGTGACCCACATGGCACAGCAGACCTCTCCTGACCCACCCCCTGATCCCCTCAGCAGTGTATTTCACTGCCTGTTCTGCTCCCCACTCTGTCTCTGGTGAGTCCTCTCAACCCCGCACACCTCAGGCCTGTACCCCAGTTACTGTATGCATAAATAAATAAATCTTTTAAAAAGAAAAGAAATGGCATCTGGCATCCTTTCCAGCTACCAGACTGAAAGCTGAAAATACTCTAACATGTTGCAGTAATATGCCATGAAGCAACCAAAGAATTTTAACAAAAAAAAAAGGAGACTACAGGAAAAAATCTGAAGTGCACAAGTCATCATAATAAATGAATGGGTGTGTATACATATATGAATGATAGCTAAAATAATCATATAAATTATATAAATAAAACTGATGGATATATATACATATGTGTGTATACTTACTATAAAATTCCCTTGATTATCATAAATGTGGATTTCTCCATTTGCCATTCCAAAAAGTAAGATCTTACTGTCTGCAGACCAAGCTACATGGCATAACTGTATACCCTTCAGGTCTTTTCCCCAAATACGATTCCCTAAAACAAAACACAGAAACTAATTATTTCATTGTAAATTCAAGGATGTGATTGCACAACAACTGCTTTACGAATCCTGATTTCCCTAAAGAACACTCCCATACTCTATAGCATTCATGCATTTGTTCCATTTATTCCATCAATAAATATTTATTAAGCATCTACTACATGCCAAATACCCTATTAAAATGACAGTGGAAACAGTAATTATTACAGACTTTTATTACAGACTTCCTTCTCTGTTAGACGCTACCCCAGCTTCTCTTCCAATTAGCATATGACTAATTTGGAAAGAAAATAATTTTTTTTTTAATTTTCTCATTTCCATTTTTTAGCATTCTGAACAGAACTGAATCTACACATCTCTCTTCTGCATTAGCCCCTAACACAAAGGAAGAATCTCTCCCCAGCCGACACCCGTTCAGGCTAATCCCTCTGTCCCGGCTCTGATCTGATCTGCTCCTAGCTTTGCAAAGATGTGTCAATTATTCTCACTTTCCTTTCCCTTTCAATTCTTTGCTCTAGGCCCTTCTTCTATGTATACTCAGATTTATCTGTGTTTACAGATACAACTTCAATCAAAACCGACCAACCAAAATAAAACAAAAACATTTCTCTCCACCATAAACTCCCGTCCCGGCCCCACCCTATTTCTAGCATTTATTAGTCCCAGGCTAAGGTCTGGGAAGAGTTACTACACCTGTGGTTCCAGCTGCTGTTTTCCCAGTCAGCCAACACTTCTTCCCAGAACTCCACCCCCCTGCCTTCGGACTGACCACCAATGGCCTGAGCTAACCCTCTACAGGTAAAAAGTATCAGCTAAGCCGTAACTCTGAGCGCCACACATTACCATCCACCGAGCCAACGATGACAGCCCCGTCTTCGTACACGATGCAGATCTTCCGCCCGTCGGCATTCCAGCTCATACTCCGGACCACTGACTTATTTCTGTTGTTGATCATCTCCTCATACCAAGAGCCTGTTTTCAAAATTCACACATACACAAAAAAAAACAACTCAAAGTTTTCACAACTGCTAAATGGTTAATAGTGGAATGCACTCCAAAAATACACTGTAGGATAATTCATTGCAAAGTTTTCTATAACCTGAGACACTGAACTATAAAACCTCAAATCCAACAGATACAAAAAGAAAAAAATTAAACTGCTTCAAAGAATGTCACAGAAAATATAACTGACGCTGGTCTTCTCCTCTCTCCCCCTCCTGCTCACCTTCCTTCCCTTCTTTCTTTCCTTCCTATCAATCAAAAAAAAAAAAACTTCATTTGCTCTTGAGAGCCAAAACAATGGATTTTTCTCAAAATCTAATTTTTATCACTTAAATACACTTCAATAATAACCAAGGAAAAAATGGAGTAGTCACAATAACTCAATATATTTAAATTCTACAGTGGTCGATAAGACTGAGATTGTAACTCCAAACCTCCTTCATATCACATTAGTGCTATTATATCACTTATGCTAAATGACAAACACATCGTTGAGCACAGCATTGCTGTGAGACGCAAGCAGTCTCACAGTGTAAGCAAGTATCATCAAGTGCACAGTATAAGCAAGTGCAAGGTAATCTGGAAACTGTTTTGTTGTCGCTTTGTTTTTTAAAAGGTTTGTTATTAGGATCTCTCATCTGCAGCCAGGCAAATGATCACATGATCTGGAATAACTTAGTCTTTTTCCAAGGTGGGTTTCTCTGCGCCTCAGTCCTCATTCTGAGGACTGAGTGAGGACTGAGGTGCAGAGAAACCCACCTTGGAAAAAGACTAAGTCTACTCCAGCCTCTGGTACTTGGACATGGCTCCTGGCACACACAAACTTTAGAAAAAAAGAATTTCATGGACTACAACACAGCCTTTAAGTAAGGGCCATTAAACGGCACCCCCTGCACCCTATCAAAGCAACACACATGAGCAAAGTGGCAACAGGCCTCGGGAGAACAGGTATCATAAGCTACTTTTCTGGTAACAGTGAAGCACTGTAAGCTAATCCTTCTCTTGCTGCTCTTTCTTCTGGGCAAAAGCACAAATTGTGAGTTGGTAGACAGAGCAGAGATAAAATCTGTATCTATGAAAAAAGGAAGCTAACTGACTCAATAAAGGAAGTGAACTATTGCCTTAGACTTCCTAATAAATGTGTTTTTAACTACTGAGTGAACTTCAGTCACTGACCATATGGAAACTAATTCTTTCTGTTTAGCTTCCATGGGGGAAAAAAGCTAGCTGAAGCAGGAACTATCTGCTCAGCATCTATGTTCACTCTGGAGAGAGCCAACAGGCACCTGACCCATTTTCTAAATGCCAGGCCAGAGTTCAAAGGAATAAATGTAAAAGGGAAAGTCTACAGCAACAAATCCAGAAATACTGCAGTGTGCATTTAGGATGGATTCTGGCTGCTGGTTAGAAGGGTTCCAAAGATGTTATTCTCCCTTCAAATACTGCAATTCAGACTCCAACTGGTGAGAGATTAAATAAGTGCCCCTAATATACCTTTATATAACATCCAGACAATGATAAGCCCATTTTGATCACTGGTGGTCAACTTCTGGTATTGCTCATTCCATGTCACCACTTGAACAGAACCTGAAAAATTATAAGATGACTTATAAACTAAAAACAAAAATGCTAACATTGATTTCAAATTTTTGTTTTGATAACAAGAAGCAGCACCATGAAGCTCGCCACAGCCTTTAAGCTCAAGTTGGATCCCCAGCCAGGAGATGACCCACAGGGCGCAGCAGACCTCTCCTGCCTCGCCCGCTGCTCCCCTCAGCAGTGTACTTCGTCCATCTGCCTGTTCTGCTCCTCACTCTGTCTCTGATGATTCTTCTCACTGCCCCTGTACCTCTGGCCTGTACCCCAATAAATAAATCTTCAAAATAAAAATAAAAATGAGGCCCTCCCTGGTGGCACAATGGGTAAGGACACAACACTGTAAGGATGCAGCTGCTTCAGTGTGAGTTCAAACCCAAGCTCCAGAGGTGATCCACATGGTGTGGCAGACCTCTCCTGACCCACCCGCTGCTCTCCCCAGCATGTAATTCATCAGTTAGCCTGTTCTGCTCCCCACTCTGTCTCTGATGAATCCTCTCACCGCCCCTGCACCTCTGGCTTGTACCCCATTTCTGTATGCATAAATAAATACAAATCTTTAAAAAAAATGAAATCAAGACAGTTCAGTAAACTGGTCTGTAATATTACTCAGAAATACTCAGAGGATGCAGTTACTGTTACCGCTTTCTTCCTCTTTCATGCTAAGCAAAGGCACCTATGGTCAGTTCCAAGAAATATGGTGGGTGTGTACCACACTCTCTCCTCCATCCTTACTTTCCATTCTACTAGTAACATGCTCTTGAACCTACCTTAAACCTCTGGGTTATATGAAAAATTGATATTTTGTTTGTTTATTTTAATCCCTAAATATTTTTTAATCCCTAAATATGTTAATGTATATTGCCTAAGAATAAGGAAATTCTCTTTGATAAGTATATGACATGTTAGGAAATTTAAAATATTAATATCTCACAGTTCATATTCAAATTTTATCTACTGTCCACATAATTTCCTTTCTAGATACTCACTTTTCTCATTCCAAGATCTACTCTGGGGCCAAACAGTACATTAGTGTTTAGGTCTTTGTAGTGTCGTTTACTCTGGAACCGTAAAGCTGGCTCTTTAAAAGGGTTACATACCCATAATAAACTAGCAGCTATGTTTTTCAGATTCATTAATGATGTTAAATCATGAAAAAGTTCTTGACTAATCCTAGATCGCACTAATTAGTAAACTCAACAGAAATAATTACATGACATATTACCATTATTTGAAATATTGGCATTTCTTGCAGTTAGTAGATGGCTTCTAGACAACTAAAGATGAAACTATTCAAACATGATTTTTAAGATTAAACAACTCACCACTATGGCCTTCAAGAGTCTGATTCATAGAAAGGTTACTAGGAGCTGCAAGACCCCTCAACTTTGCATCACCTAGAAAATCAAACAAAAACCTACTGTGTAAAATACATACAAGTGACAGATGCTAAGATTTTGACATTTCTTCCTTTTTTTTAATGGCATTCCTATACCTTAAGGATGTTAGAAAGATCATATTTTAAACATGTCTCATTCGGATCTATTTTCTTAGGGTGGAAACATGGACTATAATACATACCCTCTGCAAAGATATTATTTTGATCAAATAAAGCAAAATGTAGAAAATAACAGCTACAATATATTACAAGTAATTATCATTACTACTTATTCCTTTCCAAAAGATCACAAGTAAAAATTTGTGACATATATTGAAAATTCTAAAACATAAGACATTAAAAAACAAAGTCTTTAGAAGCCTTTTTTTTTTTAAGATTTATTTGTGCATACAGAACTGGGGTATAAGCCAGAGTTGCAGGGACGGTTCACCAGAGACAGAATGGGGAGCAGAACAGGTTGAGTGACGAAGTACACTGCTGAGGGGACAGCGGGCAGGTCAGGAGAGGTCTGCCGCACCATGTGGGTCACCTCTGGGGTGGGGATCAAACTCATGCTGAAGTGGCTTCAGCTTCTTAGTGCTGCGTTTTACCCTGCTGCACCACCAGGGAAGGCCCAGAAACTGGTTTTTTCTCTAGATTTCGCAGAATCTTACATACATCCACTCACTTAGTCAATCAACAATATTTGTACTGTAGATATTTCTAGAAGTAAAATGATAAGCAAAATAGTTAAGACTTCTCCCCTCAGAGAGCCTATATTCTACTGAGGGAATGACCAGGGAGGTGACCCACATGCCGCGGCAGACCTCTCCTGACCCACTCAGCAGTGTACTTTGTCAGTCTGCCTGTTCTGTGCCCCACTCTGTCTCTGGTGAGGCCTCTCACCGCCCCTGCACTTCTGGCCTGTACCCCAGCTCTGTATGCATAAATAAATAAATCTTAAAATAATAAATAATAAATAAATAATAATAAATCTTAAAATAAATAAAAAGAAACCGTTTG